AGAGAGAGAGAGAGAGAGAGAGAGAGAGAGAGAGAGAGAGATTTGATGAAGGTGCACAAATGGCTTGTTCATGATGGTTTTCTTATGCAGGCCAATCCTCCTCAGTTCCATTCCAACCTCAAATACATACAACTGTACAGGCGACAATCTCGGCTCATATCAGAAGCAGCATATTATTTTACAAACATGGTTTCGGTAGAGTCATTTATTCTTGAGTTAGATGCAAAGTCTCTCTCAATGGATGAAAATGAGTTCGAGAGGAACATGCGCAAGGCTGAGTTAGCATCTGCTGAGAATCTCAGGCCAGTGGACTCCGAACCAGCAAGTTCATCTGGTGAACCCAATCCCATCACGAGAAGGCATGGCAAGGAAATCAAAATAGGTGGTAAAGTTGCAAATCACTATGTCCACAATTGTATATGTTGTATGTGTATGTGTGTGGGTGTTAGATAGAGTGAGAGAGTGAGAGAGAGGACTTTGAATTGACAATGCTTTGCATTCTAGCTCACTGTTTAAGTTTGTGTGTGTGTGTGTGTGTGAGAGAGAGAGAGAGAGAGAGAGAAGGATCACCAATTTTCATGCTTCTCATTCCAGCTCACTATTTCAGCTATTGTATGTTTATACGAGCAACAGAGAACAGCTTTTTGAATATGCTTTGTTTGCATATTCTAGTTCCTTTTTTCTTCACCGTAGCTATTGTGAGAAACTCTCACAACACATGACCACACATAGACACTTGAGAGAGTTTGAAACCAGTTTGTTTTATGATCCTAGCTCATTATTTCAGTTGACTGTATACGATGAGACCATTTACCTTTGATACAAGTTCACAATTACTTACAACCATTCCATGTGAAATCTGGTGTCACAAAATTCGAGAAAATTTCTTTTAAGTTTGAGCATGGTCAATAGAATAAATGCAGCCATCTAATTCCACATCCAATGGTCAATATTAATTGTGATCACCTTATACCAAAAATAAATGGTCTCATTGTATCCTTTTCTTTATTTCAGTAATGACAACACACATATACAGCAGGCAAGTTGACACAAGAAATAAAGGAAACACAGGCATCTGTAGAATCATGTTATCTTTCACTCATTGGTTAAGCTGTTGCAATAACCAAGCTGAGATCATTCATGTTTAGCAGTCCACCTATGTGGCCTTATAGTTCTGAATATATTTAGTATTATTTTATGACAATAGAGAAGTAGTTTCTCCAGTGCACATGGTTCTCTGTTAGTTCCACTTTGATTCCTTTTCTTTTGGGTGCTTCTGTTTAGTGTCTCTAATGAATCATTCGCATTCGCTCTCTCTTTTGTTATTTATTTTTTAACCGTCCTCTCATTTTGTGCAAAACAATGCTTAACACTTCTGATTATAAGCTTCTTATTATCCAAATAGTGGTTGACTTCGATAATGAGCTAATCTCTCACCAAAATAATGGTAAGACACTACTGACATGGAACTTCCCGCATACAGAAACATACCCATACATGGAGGCCGAGGTTGGGGAACTTCGGGTTGGAGATGTTGAGGATCTCCTAAAACTCTACAAAGAGGTGGTTATCAAGTACTCAAATCTATGCGATGCTGTGCATTCTCTCTCTCTGGATAAGGCCTTGGCCCTTGCCGGTGCCGATCATAGGTCACACATGCCTCACACTCTTCGGTCTCATCCAAGAAATGAGGGAAACAGTGATGTCTCGAGTTCTGACTTGGCTGAAGAATCCCCCACCAACTAGAGAAAATTGTAAGTGTTACCATCCATCTTCCATGTATTTCCTGTTGTGTATCTTTGGTAAATTTAAAGCATCCTTTGTAGAAAGTACCCTTGCAATAAACCTTAAGATCATTTTCATTCAGAGAGGGAGTACTTTTCTATTCACGAGGAAAAAGCGGAACTCACTAGCAATAAAATAAACATTTTTACATTTCTGCAGTGAACACTGCTACAAAAACCCCAAACATTTACAATCTGCCGACAAAATAAATAAAAAAAATGAAAATAACCCTACAAAAGAGAAGGGCCAATTCCAAAAAACCAAAAGGGTCAAAACCTACTTTACACTAGGGGTTGGTAGGCTCTCAAACCTCACTCTCATCCCTCCAGCCCCACGACAACGACCTGGTTTTCGTCTTCTGGGCCCTTTCTCACTCTGCATGGGCTTTTTAGCTTTTTGCCATTTGTCACCGTTGTCACATCTCTTGCACAAGAACCAGTCAGGTTCAGGTTGGGAGTCCTCTAATCCTACACACCTTGTGTGCTGCCAAACCCCACAACCATCGCAAGCCAACATTCTTTCTCCGTCATCATCTCTTGCTCCACAAGAACACTCGACCACCCAAGTATCTATTCCTTTCTCTAACCGAAACCGAGAAATCCCTGAAACACCACCAAGCACCCTACCAATTACAGTGACTGAGGCATTAGGTCCCACCAAGAGGTTCACTTGGGTATCATCCTTAACTCCCCATAAATCAAGAATGTCCTCAGGCTGGAACCTTTTGAAAAAGATATAAACCTCTTGGAAGATCTTTGCAGCCTCCAGCTTGAGGTCGGCAACGGTGCCAGTGGGTGGAAGGCTGACTAACTCAGGAGGCGGGAGAGGGTAAGTTTTGGTATCGTTTATTTGACACCGGACCCAAAGGGTTACTTGATTTTTAGAGGGAGCCAAGAGGGGAGCAAGTTTTGGGACTTGGGCTTGGTAGTCTTTAATGAAATGCTTGCAGTCGAGTATTTTGATGGCCGCTGATTTGTAGGGTTCGGTCGAAGGCATAGTTTCAGGGTGGAAAGACCTGTAGATGAGACAGAGGTCATTAAGAAGCTGGTCTTTTGGCAGAGGGAGAGTTGACGCTCGGGAACTCGGGTCGACTTCCAGCCTGCACATGCACAAGTGATGGCATTAGACAGATTGAGTGAGAGATGTGGTATGAAGGGTCCTGTTCTGAGGTGGTGTTTGGAATGTGTAATTAGCATGTTTGTCAAAAAGAGAACGGATATGAAGGGTTCTGTTCTCCTTTTGTTTCCATAATTTGGGAATTTTTTGAGAGTATAATGAACCTATAGGGCATAGAGAGATAGAGAGAGGAACCTGAACTCTGGCATGGGTGCATCCGCTTCACAGCGAACCGCAAATCTTCCAACACCCTCCAACAGCATTCGCCTCATTGCAAACTCAACCATTCGAACATCCCTCCCTTGGCCAGCCACTGCCCCCTTTAAGCTCTTCCATGAGATCCACCGCTCCTTCCCAACCACCGCCAAAACCCTAAAAAAATCCTCAACAACCCTCCCCACTTCCTCGTCTGCACACCCCGTGAGACCTAATTTTTCACCCCTCTCTAAGCCCTTAATCTCCCCTGGCCCACTGGCCCTGTGCAAGAGCTGCATCAAGCATCTGATCAGGTCATGCACAGTCGAGATCTCCAAACCTGTTATCAAACGGTAGTAGACTACTAGTGCTTGGATTTGTGGCGTAAGAGAACGAGAAGAAAGGAGGTCGATGGCCTCTTGATAAGAGGCTTCGGTCAGGGCAAAGCTGCCTGAGCCAAACTCATAGCCCCAGTTGCCATACCAGGGGCGGCCGATGGCCATGGCATGGAGGAGACGGTATTCAAGCCCGTACTTCTTTGAAACATCCAAGACACTCACTTTCCTGCAAAATTATTGCCGGAATCATTGGTTATTTTCAAAACCTTATTTATGCGGAATGCAATACCTATACAACTGTAGAAGTTAAATCTAATTACTAGAAACTAACAGAGTAAATTGACATGCTATATATGAGAGAAGTAAATGAGAGCGAGAGCAGAGACACAGTAATCACTGTCCCATTGATGATTTGGACGGCATCAGAGCATACATGTTTGGGAATTAATTCCCTACCATCATCAGCCAACCTATTGGACGGTGATGACCTGATGTTGAGCATGGGCATGTCGCTATTAATATCATCATGAGGTCAGTGAATGTATTGCCTAAGCAAATGTAAGCAAGCATGTGGGATTGTATGCAGTGCATGCATGAATGCAGTATATCTGTAACTTTGGTTGATAATGATGAACGGTTGTTTTCATGAACTTTTCCTCTAATATGGAACTTCGGTTGATGATGCACGGTTATTTTCATGAACTTGTCCTGTAATCTGGAACTTTCGGTTGATGATGATGCAGATGGCCCGCAGATATTCATTTCTTGAGAATGCGATTTGCATACTTGCATACGGCATGTATCATCGTAAACTACTTTCCTCACAAAGTGTGATATCTAATAAAAGCCCTGTGGGAAATAATTAAATTTAAAAACAACAATAAGAAAACAAGCCAATCGGTTAGTTGTGATGCGCTCTCTCCCTCTGATTGGTTTGCTGGGTTGTAATTGCCTTTGCCCTTACTCTCCCTGCGTCTCAAACAAGATGATCTGTTATAAATGAGTGAGAAAAAATTGGGCCTGCCCCTCTTTTTTCTCTCTCTAAAAATGGGATTCTCTCTCTCTAACAAGAGAGCGCCCCTAAAATACCAAACCACCCTCACTCTTTCAACATGCGCCAAATCAACATGATGCCAGATTACATATTGATGAAAATTATGGAGGAAATTTTTTTCTTTGTTAACAATCAAAGAATAATTTTAGATTTGAATATAAATAATCAGCAGGGCCAACCCTTTCTTTCTTGTTTTCTACCATTTTTCCCTTTCTTTATCACTTCAGCAACCAAAAAGAAAAAAACCACAAACCTTATGATCATGGTGATCAAATATAAACGCATTTAGCTCTCTAATTACTATTAACACTACAACCACCTAAGGGGTAAGGACCCAAGCTTCTCTTCCCCTCCTCTCTCTCTCTCTCTCTCTAACAAGAGAGCGCCCCTAAAAGCCACACCCCCCTCCCCACCCTTTTTTTTTCCTTTCAACCTGCATAAACTGGTATGGCCAACTCAACATGATGCCTGATTACATAATGATGAAAATGATAAAGGAAATTTATTTCGTTGTTAACAATCAAAGAATAGTTTGTTTTAGATTTGAATATGTATAATCAACAGCGCCAACCCTTTCTCCCTTGTTTTCTACCATTTTCCCCTTTCTTATCACTTCAGCAAACCAAAAAGACAAAAACCACAAACCTTATGATCATGGTGATCAAATATATACGCATTTTAGCTCTCCAATTACTATTAAACTCAAGATGTTGAGATTGAAACAGAAAATCATGTAAAGGCATAACTGGATGGCTTAAAAAATCAAAATCTGAGCCATCCATTCTCTTAGATGCATATCCCGGTATGATGAACGAAGGGCACGAGGACCATTCACTTCCATACACCCAAGACCTCGCTATCGTGTGCTTATGTGTCTATATGCATGGTGGCCATAGCATTTCAATGCCTCCTTACAAAGCAGGCATATATAAATATCATGCATGGCATGTGAGTCTACCATGCATTCATTCTTATACCAAAGTATCCATTCAAGTTCTCTTCCCTTTGGTTGTGATCTTGTATTGATTCTCAAATGGATAATTCTAAAGGGGCAAGTAACCTGGAGTTTGAGGCTTGAACCAATCACTACTGTGTCCATTCTGAAAAGGGTGGGACCATGTGTTCACAGCCCATGACCTCTAAAAGGAAATGACATCAAACTTCACAAGAAAAGGACACAGAAAAAGAATGGGTGGAACACTGCCTGGAGCACCAGACTCATCGAAAAGAAAGCGAAACGGATGGTAGTGAAATCGTCTAAACATGAGAGTGTCTTTCCGATGAAAGAAACATCACAAGTATCTCCTATGTCGTTTTTTTGCTGACGCAACAAGAAAGCTGGGTATTTCAAGCACTCATGAAACACAAGTTGCAGAACATCCAAATGAAACAAACCCAAGGACTGAAAAATGATACCGAAAAGCTCCTATACAACAAAGCGGCACTGTTTACACCCCACTTAGAATACTGGCAAATCTAAAGAACATGGCCTCTTTTTCTTCCCATTATGAAAAGGAAAAGTATCCCGCTTAAGATCTCATACGGCCATATCCAAAGGCAAAAAAATTTGTCACGTATTTTATTTTTTGTTTTTTATTTAAATAAGATACTTATCTGAATTTTGGAGTGCAGGTGTATTTTTATGCATATAACTAAATGAAAATGATCAAAAAATAATTTACATACAAAATGATCAAAATACCTCTAAATTAATTTTGGTCAATATTTTTTATTCATATAAGGTCTTTTATTAATTTTATTCAATCTTACATACAAAAATGAACCTAAAACCAAAATTTCAAGATAATATCATTTTAAAATAAAAAATTAAAAACAAAATTCATTATTGGCCCTTGGATGAGCATGGTTCAATCTGAACCATTAAAAGATGCCTGTTTTAAAGCTTCCACAATGCAATACAAACCCTTACGAAAATCCTTACCTCTTAAAGTTCTAAATGTAGCACACACGCACACAAACAAAAAAAAAGCATCAAAACAATGGCCTTCCTAAATACGCTACTGCATAAACTCATTCCGAGACGTGACCAAGGCATGAAAAGACCATTTAAGAACTGCTCTGTAATTCCAGGAGTATGACAAATACACCATCCATATGAATATGAAAATCTTTAAATGTGTGACTACACTATAGTTTGTCCAAGGTATGAAAAGAGTGTATGCAATTGTACTTTATATATGAGAAAGTATACTGCACATAATCTACACATTGTGAACAGAACAATTTCTCATCATGCATTTCCCATTGATCCAAATGTTTATGTATTTCATAATTCTCATGAGTGTAATTGCCAGTTAAAAATCACTAAAAAGAAAAAGAATCAAATTAAACCGCAAAAACAAATACTCCAACATTACCTAACTCTCAGGATGGTGCAAAGGCGATCCCAGAAGTCCATGATTTCGCAACCGGAAAGGAACTTGGAACCGCCTTCCCGGCCATTTACTCTGAGAAGGTGGCCATAGCCATTGGAATGAACAACTCCATGTAGAAGATGAGTGGGGTCCTGTAACTGGAGATATGCCCAATCTTCCATATCATCCTCATTCATCTCATAATTGCAGAACTTGCACCTGGGTTATACTCAGAGAAATATATATCATAGAAAAATAGAGGTAGAGAGAATGGGACAGCAGGGGGGTGGAATAAGACATAGACCAGTCGCTCTAAATTATTTTTATATTGCACTGATCCATGATAAAAAAAATTTATATTCATGCATGCAAATATAGTTCTAAAATACGAAGCTGCCAACCATAACCCTTGAATGACAAGCAAAGGGAATGAAAATTGGAAAAGCAAAAAAATACAAGAAATTTGTTTGATTTGAAATTTAACATGGAAGAAACAAAGTGGAGAGAAAGAAGTAAATGACAGAAATCATAGTGCCAGTGAGATGGAAATGATAGCAGTGCGGAGGAAGGGTGGAGAAGATTTGCAAGAAAGAGAAGGAGAGGATTATCTTCAAACTCCATGTCTTCTAAGAGGCAAAAACTCTAATGCAACTTGACAGAGCTGTCCTACTTTTTGTTAGGAAAAAGGCATTGCAACCCAAAATTCCACCCTTAAACCACCACAAAATGAACTGTGCATAAGTGCTCGACATTGAAAACATGAAGGAAGAAAGAGAAGGGTAGAGAACAGTACTCTTGCAGTCAAAATAAAATTCAAAAACAAAAAATTTAAACACGAGGACAAAAATATTGAAGATGTTGAGAGAAAATGAGAAGAAAATTATCAAAAGAGCACAAGAGTGGGTTCTGAAGTTAACGGTCATGAAATATCTATATTTTTGGTGAAAATTACTTTAAATGAGAAGAAAAACTAGACAAGTAATGCATTTCTTGCCACTGAAATCAAAGACACAAAACATATTCGCTTCAATTTGCAGAATCGAAATTAGATAATCGAAAGTGTTTGGCAGTCAAAATTGCAGAGTTGAAATATGAGCCCATCCTACTTCATAATAGGAGGATCATAAAGTGGGTAAAATCTATCAGAGACTTAAAATATTGTATAAGCATATTTTCCAAAATAAATGAACAAATACATATGTTATCTCATATATATATTATCTCAAAATTGCAGAGTTGAAATATGAGCCCATCCTACTTCAGAATAGGAGGATCATAAAGTGGGAAAATCTTATATCAGAGACTTAAAATATTGTATAAGCATATTTTCCAAAATAAATGAACAAATACATATAAAATCTCATATAACTAGATGAATGCTTAAAATATTGTATAAGCATATTTTCCAAAATAAATGAACAACTATATATATATTATCTCATATAACTAGATGAATGCTCACAACCGCCATTCTACTTAATTTAATAGAACTGTGCTGCCATCATTTTCAATTTCAGTTTCTCAATCTTATCGGCAAGGATGTCCTCTTACACTGGCCCTATCTGTCATTGCAGCCATTGGATGCTGTGGGATATATCTTTTCCCATTATGAAAAAGATACAAAAAGGAGGAAGAGGTGCGGGGATTGAAGGGAGAACCGTAAGAGAGAAAAGAGAACAGAGGGGGGGAGGAGGGCAAGAAAGCGAGAGAGAGAGAGAGAGATATGTGCCAAACAATGAAATAAAGAATGAGATGAGAGCTGCACTATGCAAGGCTAGTAGAAGAGGACAGAGACATTGCTGGAGGAAAGAAAATACCAGCTATATTCTAATGGCCCAAGCCCAGCCACTTTAACTCATCCTTTTCCTTTCAAGAGAAAAACCACCTCCAACTTCCCACTATTTCAGCCGTACTTTTGCAAATTCCTTCTTACTTCTTTTTTCTTCTTTTCTTTTCTTTTCTTTTTTTTCCTTTTTTTGATCATGTACTTCTGCAACTTTCAAATATCACTTTTTTTTTCTTTTTTCATCATGCACTCCTGCAACTTTCAAATACCAGTTCTTCCCTCAAAGATAGATCAATTTGAACCAAACCCAATCTCCTGAAGTGTTGCCACTATACTAGCAGCATCTGGGCTCTTCCTTCATTCTATCAAAATATTTCTAGGGGGGTGGTATTGCTGCGAGAAATACTGCTCTGCTTTCAATTAATCAACTTAGGTTAATGCTAAATCATCCACATGTTTTGCAATGTTCCTAACACTAGCTTCCCAGATGTGCCCCATTTTTTTCTCTTTTATCTTGTGTGTCTTCGTAACTCAAAGAGGCAGTAGCACCTACTTACAGCAAATATTCAAGTACAAACATATATTTACTTACAAACTTTTATTTCCCAATTTAATCTTATTGTGCATAAGATGGAGCACAACCTAATTTGGATATTATCTGCGTTAATGATGCATGCTTCCATGTAGTGCACTGTACAAAATGCCCTTCAAACTCCCAAATTTCCTTTTGACTCACCAGAGCTAGAACCATGCAAACAGGCATTGATCTATATGGCTCCAGGTTCAACTGAGAACTTTGGTACTATTAGATTTTAGTGCCAAACTCCCAAATTTCCTTTTGACTCACCAGAGCTAGAACTATGCAAACAGGCATTGATCTATAGGGCTCCAGGTTCTACTGACAACTTTGGCACTATTCGATTTTAGTGTCATACCCCCTCATAATTCAGCAGAAATCGATCACTGAATGATTTAACAAGGGAATTAGGACAACTATGACCATACAATGCAGGTGACAAGCAGTTACCTTCATTTTTTCTTGACACCAGAGTCTATGGGATTGTTTCGCCAAAGCACCAAAAGGCCCTTCAGACTCTTAGGAAGAATTAATTGGAGGCATAATTATAAGAGGCATCAAAGCCCGGCCAAAATCCCTCATACTATAGCAGAAATCAATCAATGAAAGATTTGTCGAGGGAATTAGGACAACATTGACCATGCAATGCAGGTGACAAGCAGTTATCTACATTTTTCGTGACAGCAGAGTCTATGGAATTGTTTTGCCAAAAACCAAAAGGCCCCTCAGACTCTTGGAATAATTATTGGAGGCATAATTATTGGAGGCATCAAAGCCCTCCATTTTGTGAGATATGGTATCAAAGCCCTCCAATTTGTGAGATATGGTTTTAAACCTTTGGATGCCATGGCAAACTTGGTGATGGAGAAATGGAGCATACATGACTAGGAAGTATTTATATGACCTTGCGATCTTTCTATTGCTAGTATTTATGTATTTCTTCACACTTCTCCCCACTAGTTTAAAACTCTTTAATATAATTCACAAGTATTTCTGGAACAAATAGCCAGCAGTTTAAAACCATATTATGCTCAGGTGAACTCCTGGAAAATGAAAACAGCATTATTTTTCTAGAATCCATTAGAGGTAACAGATAGGAATGCACTTTTCCATTCAATAAAGGGAGGGATAGAGAGAGAGAGTTGGTAGAAAGTAGATATCAAGATCAACATTTTGCTAGTGAAGAAAGAACTTGCACATTGACAAGATTCAGAGAGGAACACAAAAGAAATCTGCACAGCCCAATGGAATATTTCATTTCTTTCAATAATAGCATTAATTGCTTCACAGTTGGCACAATTTAATTGGTATTCACAGAATTTTCATGTCACCTTTCCTTTTTCCACAGAAGATTCCATTTTACATATGGAGAAAAACAAGTACCTCACACAGATCATGCCCTCACCTTAATTCTAGTGAAGGGACGAGGGATCCACAGCTAGTGCATGCCTTTTGGTATGCACCACTGGATTCACCGTCCAGCCGAATGATGAAATGGTAGCGCTTTGCACAAACTGGATGGCCACTCCAACCTGAAGAAACAGCCATATGAACTAAAAATTAACATTAAATAGAAACAAAAGAGGAGGGGTAAGAAGAAGTTACCCTTAGGTATTTGTTTTCCCTGAACAGTAATAAAATTATGAAAACTGCATGGCCATATACACTTCAAGCAAAGCTAAGAATAAATAACTAAACAAATAACCATCCAAGTTTGTATATTCATTAAATGGTAATATACAGAAGAGAACATACCAAATGTTCTAGACCGAGTCCTGCATGAACCGATGAAGGGCTCAAAAGTGCAAAAGATTTATAACAATTTTGTTTAAAATAAAAAAGTTAAGAAAGTAAAAAGCTAAAGAAGTCATAAAAAGCTTTAAAGGTCTATAAAAAATAGAAAAAGTACATAGAAGATGGAATATGGAAAATTTTGAAATAATTCAGAAACTATTGATTTAAGGCTTGAAAAAAATTAAAAAACATAAAAAAAAGAGAAAGCAGAAAAATATAGCACATAATAAGAAAAGCTTCAAAAATCATCACAAAAATTATATACAAACATTTACATCATCTATTACCGACTTAATAAAAAAAAAATAGACATTTTAATGAACCCAAGTTTGCCACCAGAACTTGCCTTGACAAAGTGCAAGGCTGAGTAAGTCAGCAGAGTTCAACTCTGCCAAGTTTTGGAAAACTGGAACATACACATAGGGCAAGTCGCATTATAATGTGAGTTACAGTAAACACCGAAATATCTTTCTAGGAACAATTTCAACTAAAACTCGGCTTCAAACTACGTGCTGAAGGAGGCCAAGGGTAAAGATATCAATCTTCACATTCATTGAGCATCCTATACGTTCTCTAACAATTATTCAGCGTTTCTTAAGTACCACCACTGTGAATGAACCGTTGATCATCTGACACATTTCCTAAAAGAGTGTATTCTCTACATGGCTTGTTTTCACGGGCCTAGCTTTTCTAGCCAGATGAACAATTTGCAAGTGGGGAGGCACCACTAGTGGAAGAGATTAAGGAGGAGAGTCTGTTTCAATGCGGTGGATGACTGAAATCTTCCACGGTTCAGAAGCCTCTTTTGAGTAACACTTTTACTATCATGGAAGCCTAATAACTTTCATGGTCCCCATGGCGTCCCATTCGGGAGGGGACGGGATTTTCCGAAGGAGAAGAGAAGATATGCTTTTCATGGTCCCAGCAACATCACTAATTTACACATTACACAGAAGACCAGAGAAGCCAAGGTAATGATTTTCAGAGTCCTAGTGATGTTCACATTTATACCAAAAAAGCAAAACCTAAAAAAGTGTAAATTTTGTTGAATTTGTAAACTCTGGAAAACCAAAGATCCTCATTTGGTGAAGGGATGTATATTCACATAACACTACCAGTGAGAACCAACAATCATCGTATATGGAAGTGAAAAATACATCCAAGAACAATATGCTACACAAGTTAAACAAACTCAACAAACTGAAAACTAATTCATACAACAGAAATCACAATAATCTCACAGTAAATTCAGTAGGGCGGACCAAAGACCCCGGAAAATTACTGGAAACTCCAAAAAAAAAAAAAAAGTACAAAAATTACAGAAAAAAAAAAGGAACATAAATACATACCCACAACCCTGCAGTGGTCACAGTAAACATATTTCGAGTGCCTCACATCTTCTTCCACAATGCTAAGAGTAATAACTTTTTCATCACCACACTGATCGAATACCCGAAACATAATGTGCCATGTAATAAAGTATATATAGGGAGAAAAAGGAGATGATTGAGAAAATTTGGAGATAAAAGCTTTGATATTTGATCTGAAAGGCCCATCAAAATCGCCTGAAAACCCAGCAACAGTTGCCTGAAACTCGTGGAATGGCACAAGATCGGCTATTACTCTCCTCTTCGGCTTCTTAAAAGGCCTCGTATTCACTGCCATGGTGTTTACAGGGGAGAAAGAGGGAAGGGTCTATAGATTTACAGGGGAGAAAGAGGTAAAACCCAGCTGATAGAGGAGTATATATATTTACAGGGGAGAAAGAGGTAAAACCCAGCTGATAGAAGAGTATATATCAGAGTATAGATGAGAAGGAGTGTTCACGTCAGGTACTAAAGTATTTCAAGATCTAGATCTCATTAGTTAAGTTATATCAAAGGCAAAACAACCACCAAGAAACAAAGGCACAGCCTGTAAAACCAGGGCTTCCTGCAATACAATAGAAGCGCCTACAATGCCTCAACTCCAAATAAACCTCGGTTTTTCTGCAATAGTTGAGATAAAAAAAACCCAAATACAAAAAGGCGCCAACTTTCAAGAACCCCTGCAAAAAAAAGTTGGGGTTTCTAGATCTGAAACCCTAGAAGAAGAAAAAATTCAACTTTTAGAGGGAAGACGAATCCGAAGTTCTCTTTTTTGTATATTAAGAAGAAATCCAAGGTTCGATAATGGCGAATACTAATGAGGTAGTTTTCAACACTTGAAACCCCAACCCTAAAAATATGGCGGCGTACGAAAACCAAAGGACGAAGGAAACCCTAAAAGCTCTGATTGTTATTAGCGGAAGAGAAAGCGGCAAGAGACCTGGTTATTTCAAGGAAAGAACTAAATATACCCTTGACTTTTATCCTATTGATAAAAATACCTTTGAAGAAGAATTTGGTAAGTTACTAAAATACCCATGAATTATGGAAATATCCTATATATCATTTTCTATTGGGTATTTGGATCTATCTATAATGAAAAGCACTGTAAATACTTGGTAAATAATTTATTAGATATTCAACAGATGGATATTGCACATTGGTTTTGTTGAAGTCAAAGTAAATTATAAAAATATAACCTTTTTAATGATTTTTCTCGTTAGAAAATAATTATTTGAAGAGATAAATATGAGGTGTATGTTTCTATTTATGATGAAATGAGATGTAATAACATCTCAAGTTCGATTCCTCCCCACTACCCAAAAAAAACACATGGATATAATACCCTACCAAAAAAAAATGAGAGGGATGTAATTTGCTGAACAAATTATTTTTTAGATTCAATAGATAAAAATAGCGCATTGGTTTTTTCGAAATAAAAAGAACATATTCTATGGAAATATAACCTCTTTATGAATTTCCTCGAATAGATTTTGCCAAAAAGAAAAAATCTTGACGAGAGAAATATGGGGTATTTGGATCTATTTATAATGCAAATGGATGTAACAATTTGGTAAATAAATTATTGTGGACTCAAGAGATGGGAAGTGGACGTTGGTTTTCTTGAAATCAAAGTAAAGTTTCTAAATAAACCTTTTTATGATTTTCTTGAATTATAGTTTCTATAGAAATATGATATTGGTGAGAAAAATATGGACTTCTCCTCCTCTCTATTAGGAAAGCAGGACTCCTACCAAATATGTTTTTGGGATAAATACTATTATATCTTTTGTTTTCCTAAATTTATCGATCTAAAAATAAGCCAGTTCAAAATGGGACTTTCCACCCAAAAACAGATAGACGCTACCTCAACAAAAAAACAATGACGATGTATGCTAGAATAAAAAAGAAATGGAATTAGGGTATTGAAATGGGATTCTATTTATCTTTCATACAATAAGACTATTTATCTTTGATACAAAGTGTTCACAATTAATTAAAGCCATCCGATGTGAAATTTGACAGCTTAGATGTGTCGTAAAGTTCAAGAATATTTTTATTTTTTAAGTTTCAGCTTAGTCAATTGAATAATTGCAGCCACCCAATTTCACATCCAATTGTCAAGATTAATGTGACCACTTTGTACCAAAGATAAATGGTCTCATTTTGTAATTTTCCTATTTAAATTAGACATGGGAAATCAAGCTAAAATTAACTACTAGGGAAATTTATTGGAAAACCATGTTTTATTTTAAAATTGGTAAAATAAACTATTATATGATATACTCGTCTCACTTTTTAAAGCACATATAGTATGTTTTATTTGGGTTTTGCTAGGCTACCCCACTTGGTAACATAGTTAGCAAGTCGGGGATTATCAATAAATCAATTCACCATAAAATCGGAAACTAATCGTTTTTATTTTAAAAAGTCGGATAACAAAATTGAGTAAAAAATATGGCTCAACAAAAATACTTCATGTAAATAGATCACAAATGTTTCGGACTGAGCTAAAAAAATCGGAGTAAAAAAATCAGATATATTCAAAATATTATAAATTTTAAAACTCTAAATATATATATAAGTGTCAAAAAATATTGAGGATTTAAAGGTATAGCCTAACAAAACCCATTTTATTTTTAACATCGTCATTATCGGTCTCAAGCCCAGATAAGAAAGGAGGAAGATTGTATTAATTTTGTAGCCAGCATAAAATTTTTACATCTCTATCATTAACTAACTATAAATAGTAGGGATAAGACAATGATGATGACGATATTATATTTTATTTTTATTTTTTTTCTACATCATCAATATCATCATCATAAATGTTTTTCAATTAATCGTGGTCAACTATTTTTTTCTACATATTAGATTAAACTCAATTTTGATATGTCAATGCTTCTAAAACATCACTTGCTTATAAAAAATAAAAAAATAAAATAAGTAATTTACCCAAATAACCCTAAAATTGTAGGGATAATTTGGTTATTTTGTTCATTTTTAATATTTTGTATAGATAAAATGATGAAGAGGTATGGATGTACCTAAATTGAGCTTACTCTAATGCATATAAAAAAACAATAAAATTAAAATACATCACGTGTTCTAAAAAAATATGGGGCTTCAATGTAAAATATACAAATAAGGGACCTGTTTAATTCTAAAAATAAAACACGAATTTCCTATAAATTTATTAGGAAACCATAATATTAAATTAATTAAAGTTGTCAATCCAAATAATTGTTTGACATAAAATTTTTATAAAAAATATATAATATTAAACTTACATTTATATTAGGGGTGT